CTCAGCTTTCCAAAGTGCTGGGATTATAGGCATGAGTCACTGCACTCGGCCGTGGACTTTTCTTGATCATTGAAACACACAGGTACCAGGGAGGAGGGAAATGAGTGCTGGGAACTGTCTGAGCTCAATCCTCTGCTTTTTCAATCTGGTTTTAAGTCCCTAACACATCAAAATAAACACAATTTTGCCTCACCAGGCACAGTGGCTTCTCTCATGGTCAACTGATTCAATGATACAACAAGTAAGAAAGAATGAATGGACTGTTTCTTGTGCTTCTGAATTCAAGCTGACTAAGAGGTTGTCTTTTGTGCTCTCATCTCCTAAGCTCACTGTGCGTTTCATCTCCCCTCTGCTGCACTAGCATCCAAGTGCATGTGATGCTTCAGCTGCATTACTCAAAGCTTCATTCTGAAGTCTGTTGAAGTTAAGAGAAACTTTTACCAGTGAAAACGTCACTAAATAAAAACAGTCCTGAAATTCCTCTAGGTTCCACATATTCTCTACTTCCTCTCTAAAATATGGAAAAGGAACCCTATTTCCCCTTGATTATCAGGTTCTATGACCCCAGCCCTCACCATAAGACACTGTGTTCAAAGTCTGTGCTGTATCATAATGAGAACTAAACGGCCATAGGGTCATCATTCTTTCCATTTCGATGCAGTAATTATCATGCCAATTCTTTGAATTAAGAACTATCAGCCAGAAAACCCCAGACAAGAGTGAATAGAAACAATGTTTCAATCTTGTCTCTACCCAGAATGAATAGTCATCTCTCAGATTCTCCTTTTCTGTTAATGGGGGTAACAAGGTCTTACACATCGGTGTTTCAGGGCCTCAGCACATCAGGTAAGACAGCGATTTGACATTACAAGGGCATGTATTTTGGCTTTCCCTGACTAATAATGGGTTTTCTCCTTTCTGTAAGGACAGCTGCCCCTGGACACATGACAGCATCGTGAACATACGTTGCTTCACATTTTTGTTGTTGTTGTTATATTTAAGTTGCTTCTTCCAATGCTAAATGATGTAAGGATTTCTTGATTCTGATGAAAGCACTCAGAAATCTTCCAAGAGATGATTCTGGCAGAAACGTGACTGATGAGAAAGGCAAATGCATATACAGGAAAACAGCCACTGTCCTTCGGATGTTGGGTTAGTTCCACTGTACTCACTTGACACACGTTTTTAGTCTGACCACTGATGTGTGGTACAATGTCAGTGGTTCAGGAGGGGTTATGCTACTTGGCAAGTTGAATGCTCAGAAAAGCTATAGGCATGCAAGCCTTATCCACTGAAATTCATATTTTTGTGCTCGTGCATGGATTTCTATGGTTCATGTGACTTCCTAAAAAAGCTGGGAAACATGACTGACTGAAGTCCTAGTATTTGATCCCCTAAATTACTAAAAACTGGTCCTCAGTAATGGAATAGAGATGAATACTCATTTGAGAAGCATTTATTTTTATCTTGACCTATTTTCCAAGGTGCAGTCATAGCTCTTCCAAACCAACTTTCTCCAGTCCTTCAGTTTTGTTTCTTCTGAGGCCTGATGATTACTCCAAACCAATAGGCAATGTCATGAAATTGCTAATCTCTCTTTGCAAAGTGTACAGTGACTTCACCCTTGGGGTTTGCCCAATATTGTGACTTCTAGTCTCCCAGGGCATCCTCGATGACAGCAGTGATGTGACATCACTACAGCACCCAGTTTTTAGAACTCCATCCAGCATGGCATCATTGGGGGCATATGCATATTTGGACTTCCATAGGAACTAACATTAGGCAGTTATTCCCATAGAAATCCTTTACCCCTCCACTGAGTTAGAAAAATATTGTAAGGAGTAAATACCCATTAGGTGAGTGTTTTATAACTAAAGGTTATAAAGGAAATGTCTGTAACCAGAGTGGGTACTATACCTGGTCTTAGGCACCAGTGTTTTTGTGGGGGGAGACTGAAATCACCTTCACAGATTTAATTTTTATATAATTACTTTGTAAATATGCATATGTTGCCTTTATATGTATATATAAATATACTTAAATAGCCTTATTTAGACATAAATATGTGTACATATAAGTATATGCAGCCAAAAATTTTTCAAAAATATAAAAATATAAAAAAATAGATATAACACCAACATGTATGTTATATACACTCAAATATGTACATTTCTCCAAATGATATAATTTCATGGTTTTTATTGGTAGTAAGTTTTAATGTTTTAAATGTTATCTTAGTATCTCTATATATGGATTAATAAATATTCATATATATGCCATCAATTTTAGGAAAATGCATCTATCTAAATAGGTAGATGTATAAATACTGTATTGGCCAGTTTTTGCACAAAAATTATTGACAATCAACCACTTAAACTCTTAGCGTCTTTATTACACTAAGTATTTATTTTCACATTCATGAATGTTCATTTTAATAATCAATTGGCTGATCAAGGTAGGGCTCAGCTGGTTGGTTTGGTTACAGGGAACTCAGCTTGTCACCAGCCTATGGATGGCATTTATCTGAGGCCAAGACGGAGAATAGTGACTACCCAGGGCAGAAGATTCTCACGGTAGATCTCAGGAGTAGACAACATCCCAAACCAAGCTGACCTGATACAATTAAGTCCAAGAATCTCTAACATAGGCACACACAATTTTAATTGGTTCTTTCACTTGGTAATTATTAAACTTTCAAAATATGTTTACTCTATTTAAACATCTAGTTATTTGATAAGTACATGGATATATAATTATGATTTTCAACTTTAATAATCTTCAAAATGTTTTCAAATGTAATGTTGCATCAATTTGAAAGTAAAGCTGGGAGTGCGTTTATCATATGACCTTCCATTGAAATTTTCTTAAATGTCCTCATTGAGAAAAACATAAATCTCTTTAGCTAAAATGTCACCTAAGACATAGCTTGTTAAACTTTATATAGACCACCTGTTACTGTGTTAAAATGAAGATTATCTTTCAGTAAATTTGAGGTGGGCCTGCTGTATGTCATGCAAAACACCCTCTCAGGGATGCTGAGGTGCTGCTGGGTTCTGGGTAATTTTGAGTAGCAAAGGACTTTCATATTAAAGGGAGAAATCCTATATCCATGTTTAGGATTTTCTCTTGTTGTCTTCCTATTTGTCAAAGAAGGCTTATTTGGTTGCCAAATGGTTGTTATATCTATCTGTCTATCTATCTATCTGTCTATCTATCTATCTATCTATCTATCTATCTATCTATCTATCATCTATCTACCTTTTTCATGAATGTGGAGACAGAGTCTTCCTAAATTGCCCAGTCTGCCAAGACCAGCTCAGTCGTGGAGATCCTAACCCAGCAGCACTAGAGGAATTAAAGACACACACACAGAGATAGAGAGTGCAGAGTGGGAATCAGGGGGCTGACAGCCTTCAGAGCTGAGAGCCACAAACAGAGTTTTACCCACATATTTATTGACAGGTAGTCAGTGATAAACATTGTTTCTATAGACTATAGATTAATTAAAAGCATTCCTTACAGAAAACAAAGCGGTGGGTTCTGTCTAGTTATCTGCAGCAAGAACATGTGCTTAAGGCACAGATGGCTCATGCTATTGTTTGTGGTTTAGAAACGCCTTAGGCATTTTCCACCCTGGGTGGGACAAGTGTTCCTTGCCCTCATTCTGGTAAGCCAACAACCTGCAGTGTTGGCCTCATAGCCATCACAAGCATGTCACAGAGCTGCAGGAATTTTTTTTATGGCCAGTTTGGGGGCCGGTTTATGGCCATATTTGGGTGCCTGTTCCCAACATGTTCCCCTTTTTGTTTAAACAAACAACACAGATTAAAAGGACAATCATCATTGAAATCACAGAGCCTCCAAGTGTTTTTATGCATTTCAGTGGGTCAATAGCTGCTAATTCGTCTGCAACTCTTTCAAGCACTCCAGGTCCTGGCATTAAGGTCAGGTGTGCCTGAGATTCTTTAAATATTTGTTCTTTGAATTTTGCAATATCCGGAGACAATTTTCCAGAGTGTCTTTCCAGATGTTTTTTTATTCTTTCCCATGCATGCTCTGATTCATTATAAGGGTGAGGAGTGTTACAAAAGTCAGAAGCATTCCAGTTGCATTTTAGCTGCATTCTATATTCCAAACTAGCTACTCGAACTCCTAGCCACATTACAGTTTGTTGGAGATCATTGATTTGATTAACTCTCTTTTGGTCTATTTTAGTTTGAGAGTTCCACCAAAGAGTAGAATTCTTTTGCCATTTGTTTTCAAAATCTGCTGTTTGCACTGACGAATGTCGTGCAACTCCAGCTGCCACAGCAATAACTGTAACAGCAATCAGTCCCATAATAATCAAGAATAAGTAGCAATGAAATGCTGAGAGTGTCTCAATATTTTCTGAAGAATTTCAGTTATAATATGTACAGAGAGAGAGGCTTCCCAAGGACAGGAAAACTTCACCAGTAACCATACTCTCTCTTGAACACTCCCTACTAGGATAGAATTATTAAACAAGGACTAGTTTACACAAGAGAACAATCTACATTCCTGGCAAGTTGCATGATAATTACGGATGTCAAACTTTAGATTGCCCAGTTCCAACAGAAAAGGAGGACAAACACAACTTTGTATCCAAATTGTATTGTTTTCAGCAACTTCTAAAATGTAATTAGGATTATATTGTGATGGCATAGTGTATTTTCCTTCCTAAATGTTGATCTTATTAAGAGCCATTAATAGTTTCCACCAATCCTTACTTTTAGCTCCTACAGTGGGTCATATCATTTGAGGTTGAGGTGCCACTATACCACCATGTTTCCAGATAATAGCAACTCCTGCCATACTTCTTATCATTTCCACCATCTGACTGTTTTGTTCTCACCATCTGAACATAGTGTGGCCATGGCACCCAGACTGAGAGGTGCAATTCAAGTTAAACATCCCCTTAGGGGACCAATCAATAATGATTCCATAGAAATTGTTTCGCCATACCTCTGCCTGCTCTGCAATGCAATCTTCCTAAACAAGTACGTTCATTTTTTTCTGACCAGGTCCAATCCTGTTTACAAACAGGTGTTTGAGGGTGGTATGCCTCAATTATAGGAGCAGATTCATTACGGTAAATACTGAGAGCAGAAAGCATGTATAACTGGGTCATAGAGTGATTACATCCAGGCATTATCGTCAGCCAAGATTGATAGCAAGGGGGTAGGCAACTAGTGAACTTTCCAAAAGAGATAGGCGGATGTTCTAATCCTAAAGAAATATTCATAGCAGTTCCTTCCTTATGTGGGTGAGATGGGCCTCTATCATCTGTAGGACCAAGCATCCAAGAGCTATCATTAGTATATACCTCCACTGGGGGGTCCAGCCAAATTACAGACTGTAGAAGTGGTGGAAAAGGGAAATATGTCCAATAAGTATAACTGTTCTCTGTGTCAGCCTGTGCTGAAGTAATACTCACTGCAGTGGTGATCACTGCTGTCTTAGCTAGCATTAAATTACTCATTGTGACTGTTTGTCCTGCTTTCCTCAGGTTTTCTTCCACCATCTATGACCGGTTCTTGTCCTTGTTCCCAGGTGGGTGGCCGCATTCAACGGGTGTTGCTCGTGACAGTTGGGGTCCTCCTCAGTGTCAGTCTCAACATAGCTGAAATCAGGGGGTCCTTTGGTTCCCCCCAGAATCTCTTCTTTGGCATCTGGCTCACGATAAGGTTTCAGGTGTCTTGATGGTATCCAAATTGGCTATTGATTCGCTCCTGGAGAAACACAAGCATAATCTCTACCCCATGTTATTATTTTACCTATTTCCCAACTTTTTGTTATCAGATCTCTCCACCAAACCAGTTGTTCTGCTTCTGTCTTTGCAGCTGGTTTCTGTAGATGCTGTTCAGCTGCTGATAACATCTGGCCTTTAGGCAGGCTCAAAAAATTAAGTCAATAATGCTAGATTCAATTGCATATGGGGTGTCCCACAGTCCCTGTTTCCCACTTTTTGCTTTTGCAGCTGCTGTTTCAGGGAGAGATTCATTCTTTCCACTACGGCTTGTCCTAGAGAATTATATGGGATACCAGTAATGTGTTTAATATTCCATATAGAGAGAAGTGTAGCTAGAACTTGGCTAGTGTAGCCTGTGGCATTATCTGTTTTAATAGAAGACGGAATGTCCATCACTGCACAGCACTGCAAAAGGTAATGTTTAACACAGGCAGAAGACTCTCCTGAGTGACATGTAGCCCAGACAAAGTGAGAAAAGGTGCCCAAACGTACATGTACATAAGCTGGTCTCTCAAACAAGGAACATGTGTGACATTCATTTGCCAAAGAGAATTAGTGTGTCAGGAAGGGTATTGTCCTCCTCCTGAAGTGATTTTTTTCCCAAGCTCTAATGCACACTCCTCTAAGCTGCTCTATGGCATCATCCTGCATAACCACTTGTGCAACTAAGCCAGCCCAGCCGCTGACCCCAAAAAGTTGGTCCGCAGTTTTATTAATTTGTGGTTGGGCCTGTGTATTGCGAGCAGCCTGAATGGAAGCTTCATCTGCCCACCAAGTTTTAAATTGTAGGAACTGAGCAGGAGATAGACAAGCCCAGGTAAGAGCATCCCAGTCAGGAGGAATCATCCAACTGGAGACGACAACATTCTGTAACAGTCCCATTACAAAAGGAGAATCTAGTTCATGTTGATTAACAGCTTCTTTAAATTCTTTGAGTAATTTAAAAGGAAAAGGCTCAAATGTAGCTGTGATATTTCCTTGTTGATCTGAGGGGTGTATTCTAACAGGGAACTGTCCAGCCTCTATGTTGCCCTCATGTCTAGCTTGCTGGATTCCTGCCTGAATAGAAATGAGAGTGATCACTCGAGGTGCTGCTTGAACAGGCTGCAGGCTGCTGATGGTGAGAGTGAAATCTGTCCCAGATCCACTGCCGCTGAACCGAGAGGGAATCTCACTTTGCAAACTGGATGCAGCATAGATCAGGAGCTTAGGGGCTTTCCCTGGTTTCTGCTGATACCAGGCTAAACTACTACCAATGCTCTGACTCTCCCGGCAAGTGATATTGACTCTGTCTCCTACAGATGCAGACAAGGAAGGTGGAGACTGGGTCATCTGGTTATCACATCTGGCACCTGAGATTGGAAACACAGAAACAAATATCCATACTATTAATCATGTTATCAGAGACTTCCCTGAAGTTCCAGACAGTACTGAGCACACTGATTTGGTAAATTCCTGCTGTTCTCCTTCCTTAGAGGAGGAGCCAGAGCAGCAGGAGCCCAAGGAACTGAGCGGGGACCCTCATGTCCATGCCGTGTCCTGACTGAGACTGACTCCTGCACAGGGTGTGATCAGCCTATAAAGAATTCTTCAGGGCAGAGGGTTGTGCTCTGGGAACATGCAAATCAGCAGGGGATGGGACAGACTGAGCACAGCTGCAGGGCTGGCTTATCTCAGTAACTCAGCACAGGGGCAGTGTCCCCAGAGTCCCAGGTCAGATCAGGCAGCATAGATTTACCTTGAGAGAATATATTTCTCTAGTGACCATATGGTTAAAGAACATATTTTTGTATTGATTTTTCAAAATTGTAAATGGACCTAAGACTAGATTAAATAAGGTATTTCATCCTTGTATTAGGAGTCTACAGGAAAGCATCATTTTTGGCAGAAAATTCATAATAAAGTTGTAGAATGTGGGGCTGTCACAACTTTCAGTTACTCTCAAAGAAATGTGATGAATGTAAATGTATTTAGTGCTATACTAACAATGGCTCTGTCAGGGTGAAATTGTTTCTTTTTTGAAGTGAAAATAAAAAAGTTTTTATCAGAAGTGTGTTTGATAAATTCAATGGAATTTACTAATAAACTTAAGCCATTGTTCTTAGCAGTATAAGAAAAAGCAATTCGCTGTAGATGCACAAATGTCATACCCGTGCCATGCATAGATCTGCCATTATCCAGAGCTGTGGGTCTCTTTAATGCTCAGGGGCTAAAGGGCTGCATATTAGTCCTGCCGTGAGGATCCCCATATTCCATGCCCTTTCCTGCCTTTCGTTTGATTTCTTATGGTTCACCAGCATGGAGGCCTGACTAGTGATGCCAAGTACGATTATTTCAACTAAAATCTCTGTTTCACTCACTAATGACAAGAGCCTGGATTAGGATCAACTTGAAACCTTCGATCAATCTAGGCTCAAATAATCAATTGTTTCCAAGTAGGATGACAAAGGCCACATCCCCTGGGTAATGCTCTGAGCTGCGCTCCCCACCAGTCTGTTCGTGGGGTCTCAGGTGCATCTGCCCTAGAGTCTGGCTTTCTGGAGAGCAGGTGATGGGGAGGACCTGGGGAAAGGTCAGGTCAGTGAACCTTCTCTCCCTTGCAACAGCGGCTGCCGCTCAGTGTGTGTTTTTGCATGCACCCATTGCTCTTATACTCTTTAGCAGTGAGTGAGGACATCATCCTGAACCAGATGCCAGCCTCCCTGTTTCACATCCATTTAGAGAGAGTCTCCATCTCCTGCCAAGTCACTGCCCATGTAGATGAAAAAATATTTTGAATCCACATAAACCTCAAACACTAATTTGAACCTCAATACTTAACACAGCTGCCTTTGCCCAGTGCATCTCAGCCTGATTCAGTGGCAGGGGAAGTGGAGCCAACTACATCAGTATCAATGGACTTAAGCCGAAGGACTCCAGAGAGTATTTCTCTTGTGAAGTATTAGTTGTCTGCAGAGGAACTAGCGCTCGTGGCATTGAAGAAATGCACAACTAGGAGTGGCCAGAACAAGGTAGTGGAGCCTGTGCACATACCTCTTCCTGCTTTTCCAGGGGACTGGATTTCAGGGAAATGGCTACTGAACAGACTTTCAGAACCCAGATATCCAGATTCAGAGAGATACATCTCTGGATTCAAATGCACATATTTTTCGGCATAATTTTGGCAGTCATTGTTACTACACCTTGGTGTTTCCATTCATTCTACTTCAGCTGACTCTCTATGGTCCTTCTGCCCCTCACTGCTCTCTCTGAACCTGGGGAAGGCAGCTCAGCCTGCAAATGTGGTGGACCTCATGGCCTGGAATTAGCATCCCCTAGGACAGCTATCAATCAGTGATGACAAGGGAGGTGTACACATACCCCAGTTCCCTCACCTCTCAGGTGGAATAACAGAGGCTTTTTTTTTTTTTTTCTGCTTCTATGTGGGCATGACTTCTGGTCATCCTCAGAGGTGATTCCTTGCTGAAACACCTTTCACTGTCCCTCCTCTCTTCCCTTACTCACTTGTTTGTTCCCTGCACTTTGTAAATGTACTGCCTCCAGGGGAATCTTTGTCATCCTTCTTACTGGGGTATCCAACCTAAGGCACTGAAAAATTCCTAATCCTTGGAGGGCATCTTTGGTTTCCCCTATTGCCACTTCTTATGTTTTGATGCCTACGGAAACTCAGAAAATTTAAGAAATAATTAAATTCCCTTTGGCAATCTTTCTTAGATTTTATTTTAGCAGAGATTTGTTTTTGTTTCTTGGTCACAAAATCAAAGAAGACTTCCACAAATGGCTACACACCATTAAGTCCACTAAAAACAGAGAATCAGAATCCTCCAGAACTTGGCATTCACACGTCAGAGAATCCTAGAGTCTCAGGATTTCTCTAGGTCCTCTGCCTCCTAAATCTGCCTTGTGATATTTTTTATTCTACCTTAGGGCAAGATCATCGTGGGGTAATGAGAGTTGTTAGTGAAATGAATAATATACCCCCTAAACGCATCATTGTCCTAGTATCTGAAATCTATGATTATTACTTATGAGTATGCCAAAAGTAACTTGACAGACATGGTTAAGAATTTTGAGGTCAGGAGAGTATCCTGAATTATCTGGTTGAGACCAGCACAATCACAAGTGTCCTTATAACAGGGAGGGAGAAGAGTCACATCCAGAGAGGAGCTGGGTCAACGGAGAGGGGTGCTGGAGTGATGGAGGAAGGGGCCATGGAGCCACGAATATGGGAACATGAGAAAAATGGGAAGCCGGATATTGAATTCCCTCTCTTAAAACCTCCAGAATAGAGTCCTGTTACTGAGTTAACACAAAGGGTTGTGGAGACAAGGTTTCATCATGCAGATGAAGCCTCCAGATAGCAGGCTTCAGAGATAATAGACTGTAATGGTTTCTTAGCAGACTTAAAAGGTGCCAGACTGCTAATTAAATCTCTCTGGGTCAGGAAAGAGACTTGAAAAGGCACAGGATTCTCTACAGAAGGTAGATTTTCCCCACAAGAAACAACTTAGCAGAGGCATTTTCAAATACATTAAATAAAAACATCTTGGGGAAAATACTTTGATTTCCCTGGGGCCTGGTATCTGTCATGTTGGCATCTTATTGCTACAAAAAGTTTACTTTGTCAGTCTCAAGATCTCGGTTTTAACATTAAATGCTGGTCAGTTGTACCTGAATTTTAAAGGGAGGAGCATATCTGATCATCCATTCCCATCACGGACTGTATTGTATTTCAGGTGGATTTTGGTGTGTTCTTGCATGAGAGGAGGAGTTTATGCAGTTGGCTAGGGAGGATAGAGTTTCATTTTTGATTCACACACTTATGTCCAGGTAAGAAGGACCCACAGGAGGGCTTGCACAAAACCTGGCTTGCAGGGCTGCTTACAGACCTGCTCTGTCTCCTGTTGTCATACACAAGGAAGGACACAGCCAATGACTACCCTTAGCCATCCGGGGAGAACCTGTGTCTGCAGAGGACAGTCATGAGTTATAAGTCCAGCTAACTGTGATTGTCTTCAGGGGCCTGTGGTCCTCAGCTTTCACGGGAGTTGTGTGGGAACGGGCTCAAAGAGCACCCACCAGGATTCTTATCAGAATATCTCATTCACAGAAGGCGGTGGGTGATATGACAGCACAGAGGGACTCTCTGGGGCCAGCTGCATGGAGCACTCTGGGAGAATCACTGGTGCCGGGCTAAACAGAGCTTCTTGCAACTTCTGAAGCACATGGATTTGGATCTCTTAACATCATTATGAAAGACCATTTATTATTCAGAAGGCAACCATTGCAACTAACTAAGATGACATCTGTAATAGCTAGGAATAAAAATGTGATATTTTATTACTAAGATGATTACAAGAAAACAAACAAACAAAAATAGTGTGAAGGAAAAGAGCAACCCTAGACTGAGGGCTTTGGGTAAGAGCTTGAGACTCAGTAGTGAATCCCCTGGGCCATCTTCTGTCAATAGAGAGGGACAATCAGGAAAGGGAAATGTGCAGTAGAGGCAAAATCATGGTTAATAAAAGAATCCTAAGAGAAAACAAGAGTCTCTTTCCTGAGCATCAGGTTGGTGTCAGGAAGATGCACATAATCCCCATATTCCATGTCTTACACTTTTCAGCCATTAGGGCTCAGGATGAATTTAGAAGACACCACTCACTTCACAGCAGACGGGGACACAGTCAAGGTAGCGGTGAGAGGCAAGGCTGGGCATTCAGTCTCAGAGCACAGAGCAGGTTCCCCACTACTCTACACTCTGATGTGTCCTCTCAGATGTTCCAGATGTTCCACCTCATTCTTGCCTTAAGGGCTCCAAGTTGTTAAAGGAACACTAGCCCTCTTCCTTTCCCAGGGTTTGTTAGAACTTGGTTCTCTTTTGTGTATTGTGGGGTTTGTTTGCCATCTAGAGGCAGGTTTTAGGCGTAGCAGTTTATTATAGGCTTTTTCTACTTGTGATATTGAAAATAATTACATAAATACATTCATCATAAATAATAAATTGACTTAATGTTTCAAATCAGTTAAAAAAAGATGAGTTTAAGAGCTTAAAAGGAGTCTGATGAGGTTAAATAGAGAAACTACTTTAAGTGGAGGACGGAGCAACAGATTATTATTTTTTAAATTGACAACATTTTTGGAGGAATTATCATATGGTAAATAACAACTTGAAATAAGCTGCTAACATATAATTTTATACTCAAAAATTATTTCCAAGAATCATATAAATACATTTTCCGATTAAAAGACACAAAAAAATGTGGGTTTATCTTCAGGTGCACTCAACGGAAGATTTCTCAAATGTATACTTGGAGCAAAAATAACATTTATTTCTACATGCAAGTTCAAGATTTTTGATCTTTGGAAGAAAACAACTTTCCTTTCACTCTGTTCCACTCATGCTTCTGAGGATGAGTGTGGAGGCAGCGACTGTGAGGAAGGAGGACGCTCTGCACTGAGGGTGGTCGTGCCTCCTGCCCACCTGAGTGAACTCATAGAGAAGAGCCAATGACACCACCAAGGCCACGTGCC